TTCTGAGAGGATCAGATAAAAGATATCAGGTATCTTTAAAAACTGATTTATCCGCCTTATTTTGTGGCACCCTGCTTGTAAAGTTGAAAATTGAGGCTAAGACTGAACATCAATTAAGCACTTCTGAGTGATTTTTGCGAATATATCAGAAGTTTAGCGGAAATTAAAATCGGCATGTTACGTTTATTTCTGTGGCCAATAATTGTCATTACGTTTACTCCCGTGGAGTCAACCAGAATCGTTCGCGAGAGCGTATAAAAAGAATCAGTAATGTTATTCTTCCTCCTTTTTCTCCCTCCGGATATTGGTCACGAAGCTTGGCCCTTTTCTCGTCGATTCGTCGTTGTAGATAGACGCATGTATTAACGTCTTCCAAAATTAAGTTCTATCAACTAGAACACATCGTCTTAAAAAGAGATTCCCGTAATTGCACATTTCAGGTACCGACATTTTATGTACTAACTACACGTGGACATTTCTTCTTTATTACACTTGTTTGTTATAAATTGTTTTCTACGTATGTTACACTAAATGGTTCAGTCTTATTTACAGGCTGTATCCAGTTTCATATGATTTGCCTTTCTCTCTTTTTTTCTTAAAATATGCTTTTTTTACGACGTCTAGGATAAATAGTAGCGGCTGAAAATAACATCACTTGTTATTCCTATGCGGCCTGAACATGTACCTTTCTTTGTATGTCGCTTAAGGATTTACCTTTAAAAGCTTTAGGTAAGAAAAGGATAATATATCTGCAACATGTCCTACAGATTCTGCTTCAATAATTTGTCCTCGTCGGACAAAAATTTAGAAAAAAAAAAAAAAATGATTTTAATAATAAAAACATCTTTCAGAGCAGATTTATATTTGACAGATCGTAAGATCAGGTGTATTTACGGAAAAATATTTCAGAAAATATGCACAGTTTTTATTTTTTGTTGTTACAAAGTAATATTTTCAAAAATAAATTTAATAATCAATAAATAAACACCTTAAGTTTTAAAATTACATTAATTAGTTAAATTCCAGTACATTTTTCGTGTGTATTTGTGATTATAATTTTCAAAAGTTATCACAAATGAAAAATAAAACAACAAAGAACTCGGTTTATATGATAGAAAATGATTATAGCAGATTTATTTTGCAATTATCCTTTTCATTATATAAATTTCATGAAAATTGATTAAATTGTTATGTTATTTAATACTTTTCTAAACTGTTATTTAATACTTTTTGGCAATATTTTTTAATCATTTCATTCCAAGCAAAGCGATAATGTCACTAGGATACAGGGAGTGAAAGAGAATGAGAAGCATGAAGAAAAGTGAGAGGAAAGTCAATAAAGGAATAGATGAAGAAGATAGCGATTGACGTTGCATTTAAATTTTTGAAGATTGTAGGTGGCAGGGAAGCAAGAAAGTGAAAGGCGACAAATGCAGGAAAATAAACTATTAGAATAGAACTGATGGTTGCATCTAGTTCAACTGTAAAACAGTGAGACCTAGTTGCCAATCTAGTAGTATGTTTAAATTCATGCAGTTGAGACATTAAGGGGAATAGAGGGAAGCCACGTCACGACGGTGCGAAAGTGACTGAAGTCGAGATGCCAGAGAATTACATTACAAACCCTTTTTTAAATTTTATTAAAAATCTCGAGATATATAGTAGTAGCATCAGACAAGGTATGGCAGCAGTATTCAATGCACGGACGAATGGTAGATTTATAAATTTATAAGGATTCTGACGTAAAGGGTTGTCAGGAACAACATTGAACCAACTTTCCTAGCAGTAGACCTAGCAATTGATTCAATATAATCATGTCAATGGAAAACGTGAGCCCAAGAAGGCGCAAAGTGTTGCTTTCCTGGAGCTTCGCATCAGCCATACTGATGGCAAACCGAAAAGGTTCTCTGTGGTGAATCAATGAAAGCAGTTTTGTTTTGGAGGCGTTAAAATTTACAAGCCATTCTTTTCCCCAGTTAACTACTGATTAGAGGTCATTTTTGAGAATAGCTGACAGTTTTAATTTTTCGAACTTGCAACTCAGGAGTAAATAGTTATTTGCACAAACACATAGTTGGGAACTGATAGCATCGGGAAGGTCGTTGATGAAGATCAGAAAAGCATAGGTCCAAATATAGAGCCCCGGGAGACACCTGCATTAATATGAAATGAACTAGAAGTGTATCCATTCAACACGATCTTCATTGTGATTTGTTAGGAACGATCGGATTAGACTAGATATTCGTCCAGAGACACAGTAGTCCTTGATCTTGTGGAAAAGGCCGGTATGTCAAACACTGTCGAACGCCTTTGAGAAATCTAGAGCCACAACCGAGTTTCTAAGTTTTTATCTAAAGCTTGATAGATAAATTCCGTGATGGTCGGTAGATCTGGAGAAACGGAAGCCATTTGTTTATCCGAAAGGAGGTCGTGTGATGTAAGATGCTTTACCAATTCGGTGTTGATTAGAGACTCTCGGACTTTGTCAAAAAGTGGTAAGAGTCTAATAGGGTGATAATTCGAGGGGTCAGTGGGTTACCTCCGGAGTTCTACTAGACAGGGAGACTTCCAACAAGCTGGAAAGCAAGAAGTAGCGAGGCATTTATTGTAAAGTTTGGCGAGAACAAGAGCCAGTTCAGGATGCGTTGGTGAGACCCCCAGGTAAGTGTTGTCTTTGTTTACGAAACACTTGCAATTGAGAAACAATGTTTAGCAACAAATTGGGTTCGGGAATTCCGTGACAATATTCCCACGTAATTTCTTAAAGAATTTAATAATACTCGGCGTAGATCAAAATATGATCTACGCTGAGTAATATTGCAAAATCGGGATACGATTTTGCAATATTATTGATGAAGAAAGTACACTGCGTAGCGTCAGTCGCCCCATAATAGCAGAAATGCCTGTCATACAGTTAAAAACAATGTAACTTTGTAGGAGTTACCTCCTCCTTTCGCTCCTTAAACTAAGAGAACAGGTCATTTCGACCTTGACCTCTCGTTTGTGCTCCCTATACGCTGTTAACCTGTGGTAGAGACTAGCAAGTTCCCTTTTTAGTTTACTTATATTACAAACCTAGTTGTAATATACTTCTAGACATTTTTAGGCCTTAGTTCCCTTCAGCTAACCTCGACTTATTTTTTTTATAGAGACTTTACTGTTTAGGTTATCTAATTCTCTTGCTGGTCTCCCTTACCACAAGACAGTGACTTCTCACTAAATTCCCGAATACAGTGGTCTCCCTGCCTTTTGAGGGTTGGACGGGCCCTACTAACATCAGTTAACGTTTAATTTCATTTATGTTAATATTTCAGTTCGTTATTGGGTTCATCTCCCCCCCCACTCTCATTTTTTCATCTTAGAATTTTGTACATATGTGTTAGGATCATTAAAATTACTATGGCATGGGGTGCGTTTTGTAGGTCTCCCTAGAGTGGATGTGGTATTATGGTGCATGGAGGATTGATTGGTGACGGACGAGTTCTTATGGTGAATGAGAAAATTGTAATGTCTGAATGGGTCGTGAATCAAATTAGCTAGGTATAAGATAGTTAGTGAAGACCAGCCTTTTACCCCCTCCCCCTTTTCGGCCTTGTGCCACAATTTTGTATTTTACAAAATAAATCCCGCTCGGCGACTGAAACGGTCGGATACGCAGGCCCCTGGCCGCGAAGGCCAGGAACCTCGATCAACGGGCTGCGTATTAAGTTATGCTCCCATTTTTTTTTGTCTGCCAACTTGACGATAGTTGGAAACTTTCCTTTCTCTCTCTCCTTCGCCTACTACTCCTGGCTCCTTGGCCCTATTCGACGCTCGGCATTCTGTCCCTACTGGCTGCCTGCACGTCGTCCTTAACCTTTCCCGTACACTATGTTAGTAATTATTATGGGAGGTTACTAATATCGTACTCGACCGGCAACACGCAACGCCTGCACTGGACCTGTTACATGCCTGAACAACGCCAGCTCCTCTTTTCTTCCCAACACGTCAAGTTGGCATCCCGGCAACGATCAACTTCAACAACAACAGCGATGATCCTGCCAACAACCAAATTCAACAACCAACAGCGATCATCCCGGCAACGACCAACATCTTCTAGTACAGCGATCACCTGCAACGACCAGCAGCGACCACCTGCATGACCAGCAGCGATCATCTGTAATGCGGCAACGACCAACATCAACTTCAACTACAGCGATCATCTCTGCAGCGACCACCTGCATGACCAACAGCGATCCTGTAACGACCAACCTCGACCATCAATGCCTGCACTAGAACTTCTGCATCTCTACCGTTCCTACTACTTTATTTTCTTTTCTAGAATAACTTAGCATATATCATATATATCCTCGTTCTGTCGTCTATATTGTTACACCTCGTCAGATTTAACGTCTTCGAAAATGTTAGCGGGCCTCTTGTGACCTCATCACCCTTTTGTGATACAGGGGGCGCTCGGGGGGTCCGCTACAACTTGGTTAGGATGGTAAGTTTAAAAGAAAATTAAAAATGAAAAAAACAAAAAACAAACAAACCCAAAACAAAAAACGATTTAATATCAGTAAATACAAACTTTATTTTCATATTAATTTGATTAATCATTGTTCTGTTGATAGATTGCTTCGTGGGTATCAATAAAAGGCATTAATTGTTATATTCCGCCAAAATAGACAGCAATTCGCAACTAGAAAAGGTGGCTGAGGGCACGTTGTTCGTTGTTGATTCGTGAAGACGGCACAAAGCTATTTTGGTTGAGATAGCGCAAAGATGTTTTCGTAGATATTTCATTGAAATGGGCAAAGGTCACTTCAGAAAAACACGGTGAACAATATCGAGTATCCTCGTCATTTTCTGTAACGGACGTCAAGAAAAAGTTTAAAGTACAGATGGTGGTATTTCTTTGAGAGTTTATTGATTAACACAGTTTTAGAAGTATCAAACCAGCTTTCATTTGGCTGATATTATGAGAAACGAACAGTAGAATTTTATTTAACGCCATCGATTCAAAGAGTTGCTGTCGTTACTTGCCACGCTACTACACCTATAATGCCAGAGACGACGGAGAAAAATGGACGATGACTGTGGTTTCTGAATAAATAATAAAAAAAAGAAATTCATAAAATAGAAGCATAAACAAGATTTCAAATAGCAATAGTTGAAATGACAGAAATACAAATCTTTAATGCTACATATAATCGTCTGTTGGGTACTTTTCGTACTAATGCTCTTTGACAAGAAATGAATCCATTTCATCTTTTGCTATAGGTTAAATAGCAGAGAGGACTGGACTCTCTTTATTTGGGTGGCAACAGTGGAGAATGCAGCAGGAAACCACTCCACTATCTTTCCCAATAAGTCATTCCAATTCATAGATAATAAAAGTCTTCTTAGGGCGATAAACTGAGGGGTCAGATGGTTCCCCAGGGTTCTTAAAAACAAAACTACGGAGGAGGACACCCAACAAGCTGGAAGATTTGGAGCGAACAGGAACCAGCTCAGGCACACATTTCTTTAGGACGACGGCAGGGATCGTGTCGCATCTATTAGACTTGTGGGGGATAATGCCAGAAACGAGTGGTGGGGTTATGGGTATGTAACTTAGTAAAGACTGTTCTAGAGACAAAATTTGGTAGTGGTACTCTAGATGAGTTGAGAGTGAAGTTGAAAGAGAACATTTAGACAAAGCACTCTACCTTATCTATAATAGATGTCAATATTTCAAATTGATTGAAGAGAGGAGGGACTGATGATTTGCTGTTGTTCAACACATACTTGAAAAGTCGCCAGTAATCCCTAGAACCAAATTTCTGAGAGGCTATACGTTATCTCATTCTGTCAGCAAATAATGACTTTGCTTCTTTCAGGATACACTTGCACTCATTACGAGCACTGACAAAGAGACGTCTGTTACAATCAGATGTGTCGCTCTGGTATAGCCGGATGAAATGATTCCTGTGGGCTATAGCGGCTGAGCAGACAGGTGAGAACCAGGAATATGATCGTGGTTTCACTTGGTATTTCCGAGCTGAAACAAAAGCTTCGATGTCAGCTTTCACTCAGGAAGCGATCTCAGTGGCACATTTCTCAGTAGGTTGATGCAAAGTATCATTTCAGGCGACATCACGAAGGAAGTCACGAAACGAGTCAAAATCAGTGCGTTGATAACAAAAAGAAATTCTGTTAATGGGAGGTTCGTGACTGGTGGAAAATCATATACTATTGGCATATCCTAGCTACTGGAAAAACGTAGAACAGTTTTCACCGCAGATATAACGTGCCCTATCATTTTGGTCCCAACAACCATTCCACGGTTAAATGGTATTAACTCCCGTTTCCGACTTATAGCTGCCATAGCTACACCACCTATATTTTCACATATTATATCACAAATACGTCATCTGGCTGGGTCCATTTCTGCAAGTATAGGAGGATGAAACCATCTGCTGTCTATAATCTTTGGCACTTCAGTTTAAATTGTATTCGCGAGATCATGGGTTATATAAACAGTCATAATTTACTTTATTCCTGTAAGTGGGAACATTTTCACACCTTTGATCTGTTGAAAGATAAATAAAAGCATTAGAAAATAATATGGTAGATTCTAAAAAAATATGGAATAATGCCAGATTATTGGATTCAAAAGACAAGCACGATTTTTTTCTCAACCGGATCATGGTAAAGATTTCAAATTAGAACATTTTTTTTGTTGCCATAATTTTCATGATGATAATACTTAAGTTGGTTCTTTTATTATTAATTACACATAAGAATATAATAAATCCAGAAGAAATGAAAGTTAAACATTTTTGTACAATATACTTGGATATTAAGTACAAAAATGTAAGGAAATGTACCAAGTGTGTGATAGAGATATAGACTAAAACATGTTTGTGTGTATGAGATTTTTACTTCTTTTTTTAAGTGATCTTATTTAGTTGAACATAGTGATATAAAATATACCTAATTTGAGCAGATATGCGCAAAACAGCTCCTGTAGATTCTGTTCCCGATAAGTCAGTGGTAACCAAAAGGTAGAGTTCCCCTGAAAATAATAAAGAAATTCTATAATGAATTGCACAACTTTGTACATCAAGTGAATAAAAATATTATCTTCACTCAAACCTAATGAAACATATGGATACATGATAGAATAAGGAACAAATGGAAAAAAAACATAACAAATATTAAGTTTAATCAGAAAATGAAATATGGAAGGGAAAAGAAAATTTCAGCATTTTTTATTTTTGTGACATTTGTCTTTCATTGGTTAAACCGAACTTACGTGTATCTGTCCTGTCAAGCAGTTTTTCAAGCAGTTTTCTTGTGTATCACAATACGTTTCCTACTTGTTCTTTATTCTGTCATTCAATCTGATTCTAATCTATATTTGATCTAACTTACGTGGATAAATGTAAGATAATTTATTGCTTCCCAGAAGAGAAAAGCAAATTAATTTTACACCTTTTAATGAGTATTTTCTGACCTACTACTTAAGCTTCAGAAATTTAGACAGACTACCAAGTACGGTTTAATGTTGAATTCTTTTGCGTCCAATGAAACTATAACCTGTGTTTTTGGCGTAGCTATCGTCATTATATTACAATCTGACACCTTACATATTCTCTGAAATCAGAGAATTTAGACAATTGGTGAAAAGAATTTAATCTTAGAAAAATGTTTGGCACGGATTGCAATATTTAAAAAAAATATCATTTCGGCTTTCTACTGGGATAAAAGTTCCTTCACTAAATATATGAATAGATAAATCTTTTAAGGAAAATTTTCAATGTAATCTTCCACTGATATCTAAAAATGAAAGTACAATATCTGAAATTATTAAATGAATATTTATTATTCCATTAATTATTACGACTCGAAAATATATAAATATACTGTTTAAGGAACTTGTCAAGATTATCGAACCCAACATTTCCATGTCAAGAACAGCAAACCCTTGACAAAATATGTTCTATTTATCAAAATAAATTTTGGATATATAAATGAGTTCGTTTAATGATAAATGAACAATTAAAATAACATATTCAATTTCCTCGTATGTTCTTAATTTTAGTCTTTTGCTTTACCCAGTAATGTCGTACGTGAATGCCTGTCTGCGGGTCAACGAAGTGCAAAGAGTGATTGACGGTTCTGTGCTGACAGTTTGAAATATTAGCTATATCTCTGTAAATTCGCGATTCATCTCTGTGAAAACTTGATCCATGTCTCACCACTTTTTTGATTATTGGCAGAAGTGTCTTTTGGTCTCCATGCTCAACTATTTCCATATACCCAATTGCTGGTGATGTACTAGTATCTACCAAGCCAAAAACCTAGACTTGACTCTTAGGGGCTTTTCCTCGATGGTATTTTGGTTTGTGGGAAAAGCACGATTTATCGATTTGAACTCTTCTCCCAGGTCCACCAAGTTTTATAGGATTAAGCTAAAAAATTCTCATTCACACCTCTCTGAAAAAGTTGTAAAAATCCACTAACATCTGGTGAAATATATTTACCACATGAGAAGTTTCTTGTTCCCTCATTTCATTACACCAACAATATATGTAAATCCACTGCTGTAATTTCACTTTTGATTTAGCAAAAAAAAAAAAAAAAGAAAAAAAAAAGAAAGACTCTTTTCTTATTGCTACATTTCGTTTGTGCCGTGAAAAGTCTTTCATTTGACACTTCCATACATAGCCGTCCAAAGAAGCACTGCACTTTGTCCAATTCATAAAAGTATTACACGATTCACATTTTAATTCCCGTCGAATAAGTGATTTGTTCTTTATCCAGTCAATCACTGGTAAGCTATCTTCCTCAAGTAATGGCTCCACGACCTCCATGAACGTAGATCTATCCATCTTGAGGATTTCTGGATATCTGAATAAATTAAAGCTAGTATATGAAAACGGCTATTGAACCTTAAAGTTAATTGTACCAAAATGCTCGTGTCTAGAACAGCGAACTCGATTATTCTCATGTAAAGAATAACTAACCTAATCATCTTCTTGTAAAGAATAACAAACCTTGCCGTGAGAGGGTTCACTAATCTTGACAAGATACCTGTTTAATAAACAAACGGAACGTCTACTCAAATACGAGTATCTGTAGGGACATTATTATTAATAAATAAAGAATATAAAATAATAATAATACATATTATAAATAAAATAAAATAAATAACATTAAAACTGTTTAAAATAAAATAAATAAAACCAAAATAATAAAAGTTATCCCAGCATGCAAAAAAACACCAAAAAACACCAAACTCATTCTCTTCGCTACCGACCCTCAAAGGGTTAAGACATCCACCTTGCTTACCATGAGGCGGTGTGATGTGAGTGACCCTATATATCCACTAAAAATAACGGTGACAAAAATCTGTCGGATTAATAAAGAATCCATTCAAAATTCTCTTTGTTTACGTTTGGATCCGAAAATGTACGAGAGGTCTTAAGGAAAATGGAAACAAAAATCAAGCTTTTACTTAGAATTAGATTGAAATTTCAACGATACATGATAATGGAAGAGGGCTTTGGGAATTTGAGACTCACAGATCATATTGAAGGAAAGAAGGGTAGAGAGAAATAGCGAGTAACATACCTAAACAGCTTGTGTAAATGGATGGCAGAACATGAACTGGGAAGGACAGTAAGAGGACAAACATAGCTTCGTCGAGCTACAAAATGTAAGAAGATGTGGAGGGTAATTATCGTTTACGTCCTTAAGGGACAAGGCACATAAAAGAATTAAAAGAATAACTAACAATACCTTTTAAATCTTCTCCGAATGACAATATATATTGCATCAAACTACTATATTTTTGTTGACTGTCTTCACACTTCGACGGTGAACAATAAGGCAAAATCGCCGCTTTCCATTCAGCGCCTGAAACTTCTTCTAAGCGGAACAATTCCCTGAAAATAAATAAGATTGGAGAGACGTTTGAAAGACAATAAATAAATAAAATATTTAATCATTCACATAGTCTCCAAGCCCTCTTAACATAAATTTTGACCATGTCAATGGTTACTATTTGCGCTAGATTGTTTTAAGATTAACATTTTCCTTTTCAAATCCTTTATGATGACGAGTGATTCAGCGGTTGGGTTAAGAAGACACATATCATCAATGTAATGTAATTCTATTCTTGCAAAGATATGTAGAAACTAATAAGAATGAAACTTCGACGCGACTTGGTCAGTGGGCACTTAAAATATTGAACCAATTCAATTGACTTCATTGGAAATCAACACAGCAAAGGAGACGAACATTATCTTCAATACAACAACAAACTTTGTCAACCATTTCCAGGCTTAACGCTCACTCCCACAAAATATTCTATTCCACAACAAGAATCTCTGGTTAAAAAGCGATAACTCTATAACAATCAGCGAGTCAAAACAATACTTTTTTCTATTTATTACACAAAAAACATCTGTTTAATTTTCCTTTAAAAACAAATATAGCTAACTAAACATTGTCATTTTCACACATGCAGTACAGTCACTCAAATTCTTTCAGTAACACACACACCAAAGAACTCTATTGTGTTTATCAACTTTTGCACTATATATTATGTATTTGTTGTGTTTATAAAAAATATTTATTGTTGAACAAATTCATAGTTTCTTCTACTTGATTATTTCTCTTGTTGTTGTCTTTGTTACATTTGATATTGTAAAAATTGTAGAGGGTCAGTTTTTATTTCTATTTATAACCAATACAAATTGGCTGACCCACTATAGATATGTGAAAAGGTAATGGATATTTAAAATGAATTTAAATACCTTGCCCTCTTGATAACGTGTTTTCGACCGAAAGGTTATATGGAAAGAATCAGTATGTTTCTATTGTAAAGCAGACATCATTGTTTCAAATAATTGCAAAACGAGCCGAGTTTCTTAGTAGGCAACATAAACAATTTTCTCTAAAGGCCTACATTTTTGATTTAAAATGTGTATCCTTTACACGAAGTTACAACTGTGTTCGATACACGTTTATTTAAATCAAAATTATAAGTATTTAAAAAATACCAGAAGTTAATGAAAACTTTTCTGTCATAACTAATAATATTAAATAAATATTAATGTTCTTGATAGTGATGAAACTATCCAAAGTTCATAATGTTTTATTCGAGTCCTTTCATTATAAATTTGATCTGAACGTACAGTTTCTCAAATGCTGATTGGATAAATAAATATAATAAAAAGATGAATAAATAGTCCTGATGGGCCAATTTCAATAAAACACTTTTGTATATATAATGTTTGAAGTAATAAAAAGGCCAGATTAAAAATAAATCTATTAATTCTTTAGAAATTGTTTTCTTTATGTTTCAGAAACTGAGCATATATGTGTGCTTTCGAGAAAATCTGAACGGAGAGCTGTGTATTCTTAAAAAGAGTGTAAATAGAACCTTGCTGGGCCCTGATGCTCTCCGTGGCCGAGGGGCCTAAAGTACACCGGAGTAGACGGTAATTTATTCTATAAAGGTGGACGCAGATTCGAACCACACCGGAAGGCACATTTTCTATATTGAATTTTCTCGAGTAGACATAATACACACCGTTAAAAATAACTAAAACAAACAAAAACCCTACTCAAATACAGGCATCAATTAAAAATAACGCTTGAAGTAAAAAAAAAACATGTCGGATTAAAAATAAATCCATTAATTCTTTAGAAATATCAGCGAAACAGTACTGTCTGCGAATGACATAATTTGGCTCTTGAAAATATATTTCAATTGAGCACTGTTGAGTGATAAGCTAATTCTATAAACAAAGCTCTTCACTAAAATAAATCGAGCAATTTGGCTGATTGGCATTCGTAAAAACTATACGCGAGATTTAGCTATGTAACTCTGCCGAGTGACAGTGAACATAGTTCAGTGGTAGAAGCTCCGACTGACACCAAATCGGCCAGATTTCGATCCTAGCTTGAGGCACTCGGATGTCTAGTCGCACTGAGGATACAACGAAATTGCGAAATTGAATTATATATATATATATATATATATATATATATATATAAGTAAAAATCCGTTGGTATATAACCCAGTAATATAAAATATTACAACTAATCCCCCCGAAAAAGATCTCGATGTATATATTAATACGGATAAATATAATTATTAAATAAATAAATACAAAATTATCTCATATGGGGAATAATTTATTTCGGCAGACGATGATATTATAAACTGCTTGTCTTGTCAACCCAGGAATGGAATGAGTTCTTGTCTATAAATTTAGTTGAGACAGGAAGTAGTATTTAAATTAATCCAAATCCAATTTGCCAAATACGTCTAAAACAGAGTTGACATTTTTCAATGTTTCAGTCAGGCGAAAGGCACGAGAAAAGTCAGTGGAAAATATTTCCCTTAAAGGGAAGAAGCTTTACTAAAACAAACTCGAATCTTAACCTTATGACACTAATTTTGGATTATATGAAAAAATGAATTTTTAATTAAAATTAAAAGAGAAATAAAAAAAATGAACCCAAAAATAAATTTTAAATATATAGATAAGATGTAAGGGATTAGGGAGATATTCAAGTAGAGGAAAGTTTATAGATTCTAAATTAATATAGTATAAAAAGTTTTAGAGGTGGGGAACTCAATATAGAAATTAGAATTAGATTAGTCGACATTAGAAGGGTTAGGTTGATGTGATTTTGGTTAGTTAATTAAGTTAAAACTATATTATGGAAATATGGTAGCTAATTATGTAAAACTATATTATGGAAATCTGAATTTGTTTTTATGTCGGCATTTTAACACTAATTCATTCGTCTGATTCAATAGTTGGCTTTAATTGTATTTTTTTATTTTTATTTTTTCTTCTAAATATGAATCACATCTATCTCTAAGACTATTCTTGCATTATAATATTCCAAACTATCTGTGGGCTCAAACATTTATGCTTCAATTCCCCAATTTTTTAAAGAGCAGTTTGGTGTTTTAGTTTAGGGTTAGAAAATGAGTGTCTATGAGTATAAAATCAATGTTTTCATTCCTCCACGGAATTTCCAATGTAAACATTATGATTTTCAATATTTTCTTTGAGAGAAATAGTTGCTTGATATATAACCCTGGTAGATCTGCATTTCCCCTTTACTGGACAATGATCTACAACTACAGAAGGGTTCGATACCAGGTTTCTTGTTAGTCCCGTATAATTTTCTTAAAATTTGGTTGTTATGTGAGTTAATAATTTTGGAAATGTTGGTACGAGAGTAGTTAACCTTAATCGCTTTCCTATTGAAAATTTTACTTAAAGGGTTACAATTTTTTTAAAGGGTTTATTTATTAACTTTAGAAAATAATACCGGATGTTAATATATGACAGTTTGTAGATGGCGCGTTGAATCATATAGTTTTTCTTTTTCACTTCATATATCTCTGTTACTTATAGGGGTTACATAAGATAATTTATTTTTAAAACCACTGTTTTGGAGAGCGTTTTCATACAATTTTTTATTTTCATTAAAGATGTTTATGTCGGATGATAATCGACTAATCCTGGTGCTAACGGTGGTAGGGATCTGTTTCACAATGGCTTTGAGTAGTTAGAATTAACATAAATATAGGTGGGGGTTTCATTGTCTTTATGGTAGTGTTTAAACGTTTTATTATTGCGGTTAAGGGTAATATCTAGATAATCAACTATTTTAATATTAGAGGAAATCTCAATCTTAAACCCTAGTAATTTAAAGGCCTTAATGATTTTCTTTTAGATCTTCGAGGTTAGTGGACCATTACTATTGGGGATGAGAATGAGTCCATCATCTCTCCATGGGCCTATATGTTTGGGATCTACTATTCTATTAAGGGTATCTAAAATGTAAGGTGGAGTTTTTGGGGTTTTTAGATTGTAGTTTTCGTATTTGTGATCTGGTGTTTAGGAAGGGTTGAGATAGAAATACGCTTTCCATCGTAATCTTTTAACAAAGTCAATAATTTTATCCGGGCGGGACAGATTGAAGGGTATGGAATATTTTTCAGAGAGTATTCCGGACAGAACTTATCCATGGTAGTAGGTTGTAGAGGTAATTAGAATTTTCAGATGGATTAATCCCGAGAGAGCTCGACTAATCGTTATAGGAGCAATATAGTAAAAGCAAAAATTAGTTGGTACATAATCCATGCGGATCCTAGTAATATAAAAAATATTATTTTTCTCGAAAAAGAGCTCGGTGTATTTCTTAATACAGAGCAATATAATTTTTAAATAAATAAATCCCAAATTACCTCATATGGGAATAGTCTATTTCGGCAGACGATGATATTATAAACAGTCCTGTCTTGTCAATATATATATATATTACTTCAAACGTTGTTATAGTGGATAACTCATATTTGAAACAGACACTGATTTTTTTAAAATACGAAGTATCCACTATAATAAAGTTTGAAGTAATAAAATTGTAGGATTAATAATAAAAATCCATTAATTCCTTATATATATATATATATATATATATATATAATTTGTCTTAGTTTAAGGTGCTGAAAGCGTTAACTTTAACGAAAGATTACAAAATTCAAGGGATATTGTGCGTAAAATGTTACGTATGTGATTTCATTGAAAAATTATGACATGAAAGTTTGAACTGAAAATCATTGAAATAATTTATCTGTAAAATTATGCACGTAAACGTTACTTGCAATTTTTTTTACTTGATTTTCCCCAGAAACTTCGTGCGCACACCGTAGCAGTATAAATCACGACAAAAATAAGATAAAAAAAAACTCACAGACTCAAGAAGTCGGCAAAAATGTATTGTCCGTTCAACCACGGTAGCTGGGTTCCTCTGTAGACATAACCCCCAATGACTGCTTTTCTGGTCCAGTCATGTTGATAGACATAAATTGGAAGACTTTCATTGGCTGAGAGATAGATAGAGAAAAACAAACAAAACGATTTTAGCATAAATACCAACCAATTAAAATTTATATATAATCTAAAATTCGGATTAATATTAAAAATTACATAAGTGACAAATTAATGTACTTCTAAAAGTTCCATGTAGCTACTTTTACTTGTTTCTTATGTCACTTCAAGTCTTGGGCTCGTTGTAGATTGCTTTTTTTTTATCTTCTGTGAATTGCCAAGACTTGGGAAAGTTAGTATATTGATTTCCTCTTGTCTTATCCATGGTTTTGAATTCAAAGTTGTTCTAAACTAGCGGCCACTCAAAGCTCACGAGCCCAGTCTATTCTCCCGTTTCTCATAGCTGGTTGGAAAAAAGATGGATTCATGCCTTTTCCAAAAGAAAGTGAACATAATAGATTAGGCAGAAAATTGAACTCGGCTCGTCGATTTTACTTTCCGTGCCAAAGACTGTTATAAACCACACATCCTCGTAGCCTGTTGCATTTGGTTAAGGTCAAGTAGACGAGATAAGACTTTGAATGCAAAATTGATAAAAGTTAGATAAACGTAACAACGTAGGTTTAGATAAAATAACATTTAATTATCAAACCTTATAAGAATAGACATCTTAATTTATTACAACGATGAAAAGCTTGACAAAAGTTAGTTAAGATTAAATATCGTATTATTATGTGTTATAATTTATGAAATGAGCTGAATGTTGTGGTGATACGAGGAAGTACTGATAGATTCTCAGCCCGACTAAGAAAAGATCTTAAAAATTCTAATGTTTGGTCATTTGATAAGATTTTTGGAAATGGACTGGGCCGGGAGCATTTCAGCACTTCCTCGCTGGAAGTGTACAAGGATACCAATTGCTGTTAAGCAAGGGTTGGGTTAAGGAAGATAAAAAAAAAGAAAAGAAAAGAAAAAAAGGTAGGTGTGCACGGTCATACAAAGAAGAGTAATATGACAAAAACAATTTTAAATTTTCGCGCGAGAGCAGTGCCAAGTGAAAGGAGAAAGTATTAATGAAAGCAAAAGACAGGAAGCTAAGGAAAAAAACATGACCGCCAACGTCGTGAATAGTGATAGTCATACACAAAAGTGCGTCCTTGTGTATGACTATTCGGGACTATATATATATATATATATATATATATATATATATATATATATATATATATATATATATATATGTATGTATGTATGTATAAATAAATACAAAAAAAAATAGAAATTCAAAATTAATTATTCTTTTAGAAATTCATTCTGTTTCTGTATAAATTTTTCGTCCAGGTTGTTCATTTGAATTAATTAGCTTGTGGGCACGCAGATACAGACATAAGGATTGCAATATTTCGCTTTTGCTGTGTTGCGTTGAGCACGGTATATGAACACAGCGACATTGAATCAATTAATTACCTATTAATGTTTGGTTGCAAGTATGATTCTGTCGGCACCGATATCCCTCGCGTAAATTCCATCCGTAGTTACCTCCCTTCTTAATGATATTTACTTCTTCATAACTGTCAAGGCCGACGTCACCACAAAAGATTCGACCTTTGCCATAGCCTGAAAGAATATAATATAAAATTGGTATGCATAGAAAACAATACAACATAAACCTGGATTAGGAAAGAAATGGAAAATAAATTACGCGTAAATGTAAGTGAAACATTTTAAAGTTGACAAACATGAGAAATATATTTTATTTGCATACAAACAAATGTTGTTTATGTTGTATATTTATCTATTTGTTACATACACAAGCCAAATAAATTGGAGCTCGATTTTTATTATCTAAGATAAATTCTTTAATGTAATATTCATCGAAGCGCATTTTAGCAGGAAAAAATTTTCTCAATAAGAGATATCTGATTAGTTAAAAGTATTATTCGTTCCATTTCACTAAAAACTTGTAGAGGACTGGGGAGGGGGAAGATGAAAAGAAAACACGCGCGTTTATATTTCCTGCTAGAAGGTCCAGCGACATGAAAATGTCAGACTTGAATTAAGTCCAACAGAAGATAAAGAAGACAAACAAACAAGACCGTTATATATATATATATATAAACATATATGTATTAACAACAAATTACAAAGCACATAGACAGTTAACATTGTGTTTGTGTGTGAATACTTGTGTTTATTCTTTAGTGAATGTTCGTATTTTGGAAAAGTTCGTAAGAGTTCGTACGTACGTGAATGCGTGAAATATTATTTAACGTCTGACCGCCTGGTCGAGACGATCTGGGATTACATTTTGCAGCAAGAAGAGAGAAAAAAGAGAGAAAGAGCGAACTCATATCTGTTGTTTATAGCTAATGTAATCACGTGATAGGCTCACAGCGCCTTGGCGGGAAACTTGACTTAGTCACGCGCTGGAAAAATATATTGTGCGTGGGTGGATTGGAACGCCCACTTGTGTGTTTATTGACCAATTAGAAGCTGATGTCTTGAAAATATTTACTAAGCTGAGAAGACTCTTGGGATCCGATTCTTCCAAAAGTGCACAAAATCGACTACATGAAAATATAGCGATTATAAAATTGTCGCATAGCTGTGATTTGGAAATTGTCTATTACAAAGTAGTGTTGATTTATTATCCAATGAATGCTTGTTGTTGTATAATTTGAATTTGTGTAAGTATGTATGTATGTGTATGATGATGATCATCATTACAAACTCAACATTATCTCCTTTGTTGCCAAGGCATATATATATATATATATATATATATATATATATATATGAGAGAGAGAGAGAGAGAGAGAGAGAGAGAGAGAGAGAGAGTAAAAGTTGCTATACACGATCAAACTCTTTAGTATTCGGTCCTTAGATTTGGTATGTATTGTAGACTTATCGGGCCCAGGGGAAGATTTCAATGAATCATTTTTATTATTAATGTATTTTATCAAACTTTAGTAAATATCGATGATATTAATGCACAAGAATCTTGTAAATTTTGTTTTGAAATTATGTAATATGTAGTAATGGCTTTTTGTGTCAGTAAAATTGGAGTTCTACGGACAAAATTCAGGAATCTCATTAATTAATGCGTATTAGTTCAACAAGTAAAAGAATTTGAAGAATTTCAATTCACTGAAAGTATTGTATGTCACATTTTTAATTTATCTACAAATTTTTAATGTCAAGAAAACATGATGAAAGTCCTTTTCTGGAGACACAAATATACGCCAGCCTGCATTCCAAATCAGATTTAGGAATGTTACCTGGCAGAGTGATAAGAACAATTGTCAGATGGTAAAGAAAGACACATTCGTAAACAGCTCTGATATATAATATATTAATCTATAATTGGTACACTAATGAAACACGGATATTTTGAGTGAGATACGTTGATGGATTTGGGATATGGAAAAAGTACAAGAAAGAAATAGTATAAAAATGTAATCATTTTTATTAATATTTCGTTGTTCATTCGCATCATCCATCGAACAGTAAAACTAGAACTTATTTCGAAATTTACAATAATTTACATTTACAATATATATACAAATAAATGAATTAGTACAAAAGGAAGATAAAAATAATTAGTAATAAAGTACATAGTGAACAATGATGAAATAGGTTGGGACTGAACAGAACAGATTAGAAAATTGTTTTCTTGCTACTCTCTACAATATCAAAAGATACAGGATTATAGCGATGAGTCGTCTAAATTACGATAGGAATGTGAGGTAGGATATAGAGATAATACGTACAGGGTGCAATGGATAAACTGTCGCAAAAATGAAAATAACACTGATATCTCATTTTAACAGATACATTGGCCAAAATTACACAAAAATATCTTGAAATACAAAAGAGTAAATTTATTCAATAAAATCGCCATTGACTTCAACCACGGCCTCCAGATGACTTCGGAATCTCCTGCAACTCTTCTGGGCGGTCTCCTTGTTTAAGTTGGTGAATGCTGTCATAATCCTTGTTTTCAGTTCATTTTTGGTGTTACAAGGAGTTTTTTTGGTCTCTCGCTCTACTGCGCCCCACACATAATAATCAAGGGGGTTACAGTCTGGAGAGTTAGGTGGCCAGATATAAGGGGCCATGCAGTCGAAGAAATTATCTGACAGGCATGACTAGGCTTTTCCTGCTTGTGTGGCATGGTGTAGATTATGTTGCCAGACAGGTTCTTCCAGCAGCCACCCTCTTGACCCAGGGCAGCATTACCTCCTCAAGGCACTTGATGTAGGCCTCAGTGTTGAGTCTGTGGCCTTGTGTGAAGATGGATAGAGGCATAACGTCGCCATCATTTCAAACACATCCGTAATCACCATTAGACTCATTCAACTCTTTCCGAATCCTTTTCACTCTCCTCAGATTGGCACCCAAACACTCTAAAATGTTTGTATTGGAGCTTCCGGTGCGAATGCCAAGCACTACTGCATGTCGTTTCCAAATTTCTGGCGGAGTGAATTGCGTCATGGCGCTCTTTTTCTCACAGACGATGCCCAACTGACCCTACTGTTGAGATGTTGGGAGTGTTCCCGCGTGTGTGTATTCAAATAAAGACAAACACATATGTAGGGAAAATACTGGTATATTTGAAGAGGTATTTAACAACAGGGTGATTAGTAATAACGAACGCCGGTTAGTAATAACAATTAGCAAGAGTCTACAGTCCAACGGTATCTTCGGGTCGAGAGACGGAAGTGCAATGGTCACCTGATCTCCAGATCTCTCTATGAACGTCCCTGATCTCTCTAGGACTGACCTATATCGTAGAGGGGTCAGTCCATTCTTAGTCAGAAGGTGGGTGCGCCCCAACACCTACTATACTGTGCAGTCGACAAAATAAAAAACAAACAACGTGTATAAGCGAAATTAAAAATATAAAATGACGACAATTTACCCATCGCATTCTGCATTACTGAGTCAACTAAAGACTAAAATCAAATAACTGTTTTGCAAAATTTACTTGACTTAGAATTGCGATAGCAGAGGTGTTCAGAATAAATTTCACTATTCAATTCAACTAATGGTTTAACAAGACTAAATAAATAGCTAAACATCGTTTTACGAAAGCGCTTTATGAAAAGTCAGTTTTCAAGTTTGAAGATGTTTAAAAGAAAAGATGATGTTTCATTGTTATTTATGTTTAGTATTCAGGAAACGTAAAAGAAGAAATAGCGGATAGAAAATAATCGGACAATATGTGGCATTTTTATCACAATATTCGGGATAAAAATAAAATATTCCAAATTTAGTATCGAGCATCATATTCACAGAAGGTAACTTTTTAAAATAATTTATACACTACTAATGAAGGCTCAACTCAACATAAAAAGAAACCCTAAATACATAAGTTTATTCGCCTTGTGAATATATTAGTTTAATTAAAATCGGTCAAATTATTCCTTGTCTTGCAAACAGATTTGCCTCGGATTCCTATCTATACCCGCATACACGTTCGTAGACATGCATGCACGCGCATGCGCACGCAAATCAGATTTCAGTCGTCTGCTTCTTTTCCTGTGCAAAGATGGCGAGGTGAGTAATTAAAGAAAAAAATTATTTTACCTGTATGACTGTCTCCCCTGTCAATACTGCAACGCCACATATTTTTTACTCCAAGTGCATAAATTTCTTCTCTTGCTTCTGTTATGTTTCGAAAAGGATTATCCGAAGGTACTGAATATTTCTCCTCATCTTGGGTATTTAACAATTTATTGCTTTCTGGTCTGACACTGTCCACTTCAATGCGAAGAATTTTCCCGGTTAATTCCAATCTCGGGAAGGAAATGAAAAAAAAACAAAAAAACAGTAACGAATTTATGCTACTACATTTTACGAAATAATGAAGCTTTCGATACAATATTTATCTTTTTGATTCTTTTAACTCAAAAAATAAACAATTATGAATATAATAATTTTATCTGAAATTTATAAAGAAAGTATTCTTGTCATACAGTGAATTTTAGAAACGTGGATAATGATATTGGTTTTCTATATGTGACAAAACAAACAAGGGCAAATAAAATTTCGGCTGATGTACTCATTTTTTCCTATTATATATCAGCATTTAGTTTCTATACGAATTTTTCTAAGGGTCACCAAACGTAAGATACATCCAAGGAAAACTGAAATATTATAATGAAAACAGCATTACTAATCGAAAACAATAATGGAATTTTATCAGCTAAAGATGCATTAACTCCTTTATTTTTAAAATTAGTGTTTAATTGATCATTATGAGCAGTATGCAGCGATTTCATTCAAGTCGTTGAGGACGAGCTCAATCTTTAGGTGAACGCTAGAAATGCGACTTTGTCCCAATATTTATAAAACAACCCTTAAGTTTTATTCGAAGTTCTTCAAATATGTGACTTTACTTCGTTCCATACATTTTTCGGACGAGTATTATTCTCATCTTCGTTTTTTATCAAAACGTTTCAATCGCTGTGTTGTTCAGACATCAGGTGTACGGACCTTAGTCGTCAGCTCTGTGAATTTGTTAAGCTGCAGATAAAAAGTACAAAGTAACTTGCAAAGAACGCCGAATGCAACGTACAATATCGGAGGAATACCCAAGAACACAGTTCGAAACAGCGGGATAAACAAACAAAATTAAGGTGAAAATATTAGCCTTAAAATGTGTGAAACAAGAAAAATAGTTCATATAAAAAGTAGCATAAACGTTTTTTAAACATTAAAGAAATTTCATATATCCAAGGTTTTTTATTTATTTTTATTTTTTTACCGAATCTATTTAATAAACTGGAATAATGCTTGGTTGGTCAACATTCTGTAATATTCGGATCATATATATTTTTAATTTTAAATGCGTCCAGCAACAGTGGTGACTTTAGTTCATCAATATTAATCGTGTTGCGGGAATGGGGGTCATTTGTGCCTCCTGGTAAACAATAATTGGCCGACTCATGAGAATCCAGATAAAAATAAGTCATAAACATGAAATTCAAACAAACAACAATTAATAAATATATCAGTGACTTGTGTGTCATACGTGATAAACGCGTAGGTGATCATGTGACTTTCGTTACATGACTGACGAGGCAGATTTTTTCCCGCAGTAGGTTGCCATTTCTTTCTGCGGTAGACCAATTGTCTGTTCTCCTATTTACCCATAGCTGGGGGAAGAAAAAGAGGATTCATACCTTTCCCAAGGTTATTAGAGTAAAAATACCACTTTTGCAAACATTTAGTTGTGAATTATTAATTTTTTTAATTAGTTTTTCTTTCATCTTATTTTTGCAACTCTTTTATTGTAACTGTCAGATCATCAATTTACGATTGTTAGTAAATAGCGAAGGTCGGAAATAAAGGTTATATCTACAGCGAGATTGAAATCTCACTTCTTATTGTCAGGAAACCTGTCTGTTAGATACACCAGTCTTACTGATTAGATTACAAAAACCAACTAGCTACAAATCTAAACATAATTTTCAGTCTTTATTTCCCCCCCGAAAACGTGTTACAACATCATTTACAAACACTCATTGTATAAGCAGTAATATTAATTGAATTTGTTAGATGAAGCTTTGTTAATTATTATTCATTTTTAACAAGTCTTTCTTCACATTCCGGTTGCTATTTCTTGCAGTAGAAATAAGATGGAAGTTTTCATTACTAGTTGTGAAGTTCAAGAACCAACACGTAGCTGTAAAGTCAACAATCTGATGTTTATTTATTTCACAAAAGTATTTCAAAATGTAAAATTATTGCGCTGTATGTAATATATATAGCTTATCTGACTCAGACAGAGCCAAATTAAAATATTTCTAAATGTTTCTCGGATTAAAGTTAGTAAGAAAAGTACCTCAGGTTTCTCTTGCTTTGAGTACACTTCTTCGCAAATTTTACACTTATTACTCATTTTATACTACTCATTACCTTCATTCAGTGTTTTAATTTTAGTAGTTTTTTTGATGCAGGATTCAATTTAAAACACTAAATATAATTAATTATTACTTTTATTATCCTACCAAGTTTTTATTTGCTTGTTCCTCTGTTTTTCTGCCTGCCAATAAATTCATACCTCTTCCACAAGATGAAAACTGGATATTGACAATAAAATTTATTTAAAATAAATAAAGGTTCATTTAAATGTATAGTATTTAAAGAATGCGACTTCTCGAAAGAACATAAATTTTAACGGAGCCGAGGAAGAGGAGAAACTTACCTATTGTTAATGTAATTAAATCAGCTGTTTGTTCGTTTCGTGTCGTGTCACTTAGATTCATGCTTAGGCACGCACATGTTGATGCTTTCAGTACATGGCAGATACTTCAGTCGAGGTACATTACTAATATTGCGACATCTGATAACAAAATGTCTTTTTCTTTTAGCCTAAGTAAAATTTCTAGGAGTCATTTGAAATTCCTTTACTTCTGAGTAGTGTCCATGGATACTACTTATCTTTTCTTTCTTTTTGATTTTTAAATAATCCTTTTTCATTTTACTTCAGTGACGACTTCATAGACAAATCAGTGTAAGTGATAGCCAAAAGCATAAAAAGTTTAAACAATAAACTGGTATTTCGTGTGTATATTACGCGAAGTCTCTGAAATCAATTCATCAGATATTTACGATATGAAAAGCGAAGAACTAACGATAGATGTGTAGGTAAATTAATATTCATTTAGGTTGTCTGATAGGGTTTTGTAACACCAGATATTCGAAAATTGTTAATGTGCCGTAGAAAATATTGCACATGTTTATATTTGTATATGTTTGATTGATTCGTTTTTTTACGGCTTATCAACCCTCTGCAGGTCATTTAAAGCCAGGCAATATTTTTAGATTGTAGGAATTTTTTTATTGGATATAATAATGGTTTAGTAATAGAAGTTTTACTAATTAGCGATAAATCTGGGGGAAGAAGAGGTGGATCCAAACTTTTCCCAAGTGCATTTTGCGTGTAAGTGAATATAATGAACGCAATGAAAATTGAAACTCGACTCTCCGATTAACAATTCCGAGCGATTATCCATTAGAAAACCCGCATATCCAAGCTTACAGCACTTGGTATCCCAAGCTTTCACTCATCTAGATACTGACCAGGCTCAATGTTGCGTAACTTCGATGATCGTACGGGAACCGGTGATTCAACATGATGTGGCGTATAAGTACAAAAAGACTGAAGTGTACATATAATAACTGTTTTGTCTTGGTTTGCTTCTAAAATTGTTTGTAATGGACATCGACTGAACCTCAACCCTCTCAGCTTCTAGTCGTTTTACCTATGATGAGATGACGCTTAAAGAACCTATACAGACATAAATGTAGTAGAATTTATATGAATAACAACAGGAACGGTTGAACTGAATTTAGCTGCAACAGCTAACATCAGCTTATGTTAATATTCTTTCAAATCTCCCATCTCTAGCCATATAAATCATTCATTTGTTTTTTTTCTTCTCCGGCACATTACGATAGAAGATTGAGAAAAGTGTTTAACTAATACATTCTACATAGTTAATTACATAGACAAAATTGGGCTTTTGGTTCCTTCGTAATTCTACTTCAACTCAATAGTTCTAACGTCTCGGCCTAAACAGTGAAATTTTATTTACTTTTTTCTTCAGTAGTAGTAGATAGGTTCGCCTATCGTCCGGTTCACACTCCTTCCTGGTCTTTTGAACAGGAGCAGGGGTTCATCCCTTGTTTTCTGTTTAGGATTGGGTTTCCGGTCCTTTCTAAAGTTTTTTTTCCTACACTTTCACTTCCAGTAGCCCCTTGTGTGTTAGTTGCATTATTGCCTTACTCGAATAAAAATAATCAAATGTTCATTACATTTGTGATGGCGCTAAATCTGTAATCGATTCATCAATTAATGAACATCATATCAAAAGTCTAATCTACAAAAGTCATTAATATTAGTTTATTCTATACATCTTGCGTCCACCATATCAGTGAGGTAAATTTAATAATGAACTTTAGAAAAAAATCAATTTAGTGAATATTCTAACATTACGAATTCCACTTAGGAATAGTACAATTTTTTGGAAAATCAAGACTTTTGCTATTGCTGATTTCATTTTTATTTTCTTGTTGAATGACAACTTTTTGACGCAAAATTTTAAATAAATAATTAATACAATGACAGTAAATCAAAAACATCAGTTTGTATTGTTTATTTTATTATTCTGAGATTTCGGTCGACCCCTTATACAGCCTTCTTCGGTTGTAAGGCCTAACGGATTGGTTCAACTAATATATTTGGCACCATTTTTTCTGTTGACTACAAGTTTTTTGCTTACATTCTGAAAGAAATTGTACACTTAAAGAAGGCCATAAAAGATATCGGCAAAACGATGGGGAAACAAAAAGAATTTAATATTTAGAACAACTCTTGGAAAAAAAAACAGAATATTTTAGTAATGAACAGGATAAAAATTTTAAGCAAAGAAAATTATAGTAACAAAAAAAAACCTGTGATTTTACGGCTAATATTGATATAAGAATAATGAAGGTATATATTAAAATAGACGTGAAACTATATTAATAAAAATAAATATATAAATGACTCCTTCGAGATACGTAAATAGATAAAAAAATTAACAAATATATTTGGGCGTATAAAATAAAAACAAAATGTTCTTACTTGTTCTGGGCAGAGCTTTCCCATTCATCCATACCAGCCCCGACGGAGATGTAGAGCATCTTGTCAATGCCAAAAAAAATCTAAAAATTAAAAGTGAAAAGTTTTCAAGAATATAGTTGGACTAATGTGCTTTTATTATTTTGCGGTAGTAACTTCATCATCGAAAAAAATACTGTATTTATGAGCCGAAACTTTTTATACGTCAATAGAATTAAAGACAAAAATATTTTTTATGATGGAATACGCAATTTTGTTAAAAAGGTGATACAGTTCGATCTCTTTAATCTGGCATTGCTGCGTGGTCCGGTAACTCCCATGGTCCAGTATTTATTTTTTTAATCAGTACACCCTTAGTTCGTTCAGTGGCTACAAGGATAGTACCAGACGTTGTTTACAACTAACTATCCACAGCAGCAGAGTGTTTTGATGATTGTTTGGCTCATTTCTTATATATAGCTGCATATTTACTAATAGTAAGTATATATCATTTTTTGATTTTAGTTTTTTTTTTGTTAGCCTCTGTAGTGCATGAAACAATAAAAATCTAGCATTAATGATTGTTTTATTTCCCGTTTTAAGCTTTGTTCTACCTTTGATAACGCAGTAGTATATATGTGGAATGAACTGTTTACAAAGTTTGTTTAGAGGTGATTTCTGTAATCAGGAATTTTCTGTGGTCCATCTGGTCCGTCTGGTCCCAAGGTGTCGGATTGAAGAGCTCGGACGGTATAAGATTATCGAAGGGAAGGGGAGATACTGTAATAACGAAATAATGATTTGAATTTATATAAATAAAACATTTTGTTCATAAATATGGAATGTTTTATAGAAGCGTAATAAATTGCTGATTTTCAATGATACTCTATTTTGCAAAAATAAAGCGACAACACAAAACTCTATTTCTCTTGTTTTAATTGTGCTTATAGGAGGGTGAGAGATTCCATGACAAAGAATATAAAACAAAACTTGGAAATTTTGAGGAATAAATCTTATGCCTCTCCTGTCAGACCAGATGCTGAAACCGGTAAGCTTCATGGTATTTACTTATTTTTACTTACTATATTTATGTATGCATCATGTGAAAATAATGTACCAATTCTCAAATTTGGTAGTTGCATTATACATAAGTTAGTGTTTCAAAAAAAGTTTTTTGGGCCAGCAATATTCAGACCAAAATTCTTCACAAATAAATTAAAATATGAAAAGATATTAAGATGAAAATATAGATCTCAATATTGAATATAGTTAAGAAAAAATTATACTCATACTGCATTTAAACTTATGTCATTATTATAATTATTGTTAAAATTGTCATTAGTCTTGTCTGAAAATCGTGTATCATGTAAGACTACAACCACTGGAAGTAGCTTATTTAAAGTGTGCAAAGGAAATTTACAGGTCAAACGTTGCTAAGAATATTGGTGTAATGTTGTTATAAAAGTGGTTAGAACAAAAGATTTACTTCTGCACACGTTTCTATAAATGGACTCTTCGATAACTGTTGTGGTTTCCTCCCTCTAATGAGTCTATTGTGGACTCTTCTACTTACTATAAAATTAGTAGGAAAGTAAACCTCGGGGGAACAGTCGCACAGATTGTTCAACCGTCAAACTCTCTGCCTCGGTAGAGAGGAACCTGGACGAGGATTTGCCACAGAGCAAAGTTTCGTCCGTGGAGATAGACAGTCCCTGAACCCGTTTAGGTGGGTTCAAAGGGAATATTTTTGGCCGAGCCTACGGGATCGGAGAAACCCACGATAAACTCGGCCTTGTACCACATATATTCCTTGTGGGGGGACTGTTAAATATGACAGTCGCATAGATTGTTCAACTGTCAAACTCTCTGCAGGGCAAAGTTTCGTCCGGGGAGGTAGACAGTCCCTGAACCCGTTTAGACGGGTTCAAAGGGAATATTTTTGGCCGGGCCTACGGACTCGGAGTACCCACAATAAACCGGCCTTGTGCCAGATACACCCTCGTGGGTGGGTGGGGGTTATGTTAATATTAACAGTAGTATAGATTGTTCTACCGAGGTTGTGACTGTTCGCAGTTGCTGTCGAACTCTCTGCCTTTGGACAGAAAGGAACCCGGACGAGGCTGTGTCGAAGGTCAGAGTCTTACGTTCGCTTCGTACTTTAAACGTTACGAGGACTTATACAATACAGATTGTGCAAATTGGGATGACCATCAAAAGTTTCGCCTATTCCTCAGGAAATTAGGCACAGAATATACTAAGTTTGTTAATTATATTTTGCCTAAGACTTGAAATTTAAAGAGGCGGTTCAATCATTAACAGAAATCTTCAGTCCAAAATCGTCACTGTTCCACAAGCGTTGGAAATGCATGAATCTCACCCGCAAAGAAGACGAAGATTATACTACTTTCGCGAGTGTAGTAAATAAACACTGCGATGATTTCAAATTGGCAGAGTTAAGTGCCAATAATTTTAAATGCCTGATTTTCGTCCAGGGTTTGATCTCAGTGAAAGACGCGGAAATACGTCGTAGGGTGCTCATCAAGTTTGAAAACGAGCTCGACGTTACTTTACAGCAAGTTGCCGAAGATTGCCAACGTTTCGTGAACGTCAGAGAGGACTCGAAAAACATCGAATAGAGTGGTGTGGCTCACATTAAAAAATACGCCAAAGAAAAATTAAAAAAGGCCCAACCAAAAAATAATAAAGTTACTTTGTCGTCAAGAACATGTTTCGGGTGTGGTCAGTTACATTGGTATAGAGATTGTTCTTTTAAATGTTTTAATTGCGATAAAGTGGGACACAAAAGTTCACACTGCAGGATTAAGATCAAGACAAAAATAGTTTTGTAAAAATTACCAAATCTGATGAACCAGAATGTATTAACATCAGGAAATATATTGAAGTACAAATATTTAACAAAAATATACGGCTACAGCTCGATTCAGGTTCAGATTTATCCATAATTAATTATCAAACATGGAAAAAATTGGGTAAGCCGACTTTTTTAAGAACGAATCGAATAGCTAAAGGAGTAACTGGCGACACTATTAAGTTTATGGGCGAATTTATAACGATCATGTCATTCAAAGGTAAAACGTTAAAACTCAAGGCGTATATTATGAAGAATACGGGTAATCTGTTCGGGACTGATTGGTTAGAACAGTTTCAATTTTGGGATATGGCTATTAACTCATTATATCAAAAAGTCGAAAATTTGACTAACGAAGCAGAAAAGTTGAAAGGTGAACTTAAAAAAAAATTCCCGACGTTTTCAGTGGAGGACTAGGAAAATGCACAAAAATGTTTGCTAAGTTTGAGTTAAAGCCAGACGTAAACCCAGTTTTTAAGAAAAAGGAAACGTCGAGGAAATGGGAGTTCTGGCAAAGGTTGAATATAGCGAATGGGCATCTTCCACAGTTTATATTAAAAAGAAGAGGAAAGAAATTCGTGTATGTGTTGACTTCTCTATGGGGCTAAACAGCGCCCTAAAGGATCACCATTATTCTCTTCCAAGTCCAGAGGAGATATTCAC